CTGCAACCCATCTTGAACCAAGCAGAAAAAAAAAAACACAAGTCCCTTGTAGCCTTGCTGCTCAACAGGATGATTTCCTGACAACTTGTTAGGATCTTAGACTTGATCCAAGACCTACTGAAGCAGGATCTGCATTTTTAACAAGATCCCAGACATTAAACTTTGAGAAGGACTGCTTTAGGGGACAGCAGAGGAAATTTATGGATGGAATGTTGTCTTTGAACAACCTCATGAAGCAGAGACATTGCTCTTCTCCCACCCCCGTAACTTGCTATCTTCTTTATGCAATTGAATTTTGAGACCTCTTGGTTATAGCAGCATAGTGTGCATCCTGATATAATCCTCCTCGTCTGTGGACTCAAAACCAGGTTATGCATTCATTTAGGAAAAACTTTTTGATCACATTATATATATAATATATGGAAAAGGACCCAGCCCTGTTAAATATTTCATAATGATCAGGAGCCCGTATTGCCTGTTGTATTTTGAAACGTTTTGTGTAACCAGTCAGATTGTCCTGTGTACTTACCAGTTGTATTTCATCTTTGATTCATCCCTGCTCATTTGAGGATATAGAGGTTTTCACTTGTTTCTATCTGATCATTTGGCTGAGGCAGTGTATCAGCAACCGAGAGCACAGGCTCCGGACTTAACACTTGTTGGTGATACTCTTGCTTCCATATTAGCAGCTGTGTGATTTTTTAAAAAAAACCCTTCCCCACCTCTTGGGAGAGCCAGCCTGAGGATTCTTTCCTTTGTGCTCCCTTGTGCTTGAGCACAAGTTCCAATAAAGCTCTGCGCTAATTCCAGTATAGTCTGATGCTAATTCTTCCAGCATGCAGAACTCAGAGACCCTATGTTGGTAACGTATTTTCCAGTATCTCTCTCTCTATCTATATATAATCTAAATTATAAGGCTACTTTTTTTCCCTCCAAGAGTTTCTGATTTAGTAGAGGGAAAAAAGACTTAGGAATATTAAAATTATGCCTGCTTAAGGAAGTGTATGGATAATTGCTGCTGTTCTTGTTGGTTTTTTTTGGAAGCCAGTGGTAGAGAGAATAATGCTCCCCCAAAGATGGCCATGTACTAATCTCCTGAACATGTAAATATGTTAGTTTATATGCCAAAGGAACTAGGCAGATACAATTAAGGATTTTAAGATGAGGAGAGGATCCTGGATTACTCAGGTGGGCCCAATGCAATCACAAGCGTCTTTATAAAGAGGGAGGCAGCGGGTCAGTTAGAGAGGGGGCTGTTGAGATGGAAACAGGCTGGAGTGGGGCTGTAAGACGAGGAATGTGGGCAGCCTCTGGAACCTGGAAGAGGTAAGGAATGGATTCTCCCCTAGACCCTCCAGAAAGTGTAGTCTTGCCAACACTTTAAGATAATTTTTAACTACACTTACCATGGTGAGCATTTAATAATCTGTATAATTGATGAATCTCTAAGTTGTTCATCTGAAACCAATACTATATTGTATATAAACTATATTTCAGTAAGAATGATTATTAAAAAATTAAGGCCATTTTTGGACTTCTGTCTGCCAGAACTGTAAGACAATAAATTCGTGTTGTTTTAAGCCCCTAAATTTGTGGTAATTCGTTACAACAGCAATAGAACACAAACAGTAACTCTTCTAATTTGGGCAGTGCTTGCCCCACACCCCAGTGTTTTTGAGCAGGAGTCACAGCCAGACAGTCCTTTCCTCATTAGTGGCCAATTATATATTTTTGCTCAGGACACAGAATCTTGAGAGAGGAGGTAGACATGGAATTACAAATCACAGGGTGGTGGCCGGAGTGGCCAGACTACATCTGTGACATGACCTTGCCCATGTCCTGCTGCCCCATCCCTTGGTTCCTATCCGTTATCTGTGCCTGGTGTCTTGCCAATGGGTTTCAGCCCCAGACAAGTTCACTATGGATTCAATGTGTGACCAAAGAAGTAACAGTAGGACGTTCTTGGGGTGAAAGGGTTATACCCAACTTTATTCCCACTGTGGCAGGTCAGTCACTAGAATCCCGTCCACTCAGAGTGAGTCTGCCTGCAGCAAGCCGGTCTCTGCCTCTGGACCTCTCTGCTCCCGCAGCCATCTCTGTCCTCAGCGCTGCCACCACTCCAGTCTCTGCTCTCCTGGAGCCTTGCAGCCTGCTGCAGAACGTCACCCAGAGCACTGGGTGGAGTTCTTTATATGTACCGCCCACACAGGCGTAGTGAGCTAGCCAACCAGGGCCAGGTGAGAATCCTGGCCACAGGCACCTTCACTTTATCCACACTGGTTTACTGCTTTTCCTAGTGATCCTGTTAGCTTATCTTATATTCTACCTATCAATTCCTTCTCCAGTTTCTATTGTTTACAGCCAGGGGTGCTAATTTAGAGAGCCATGTACTTAATGTGTGCATATTTCAATATTCCTAGTGTGCATATTTCAATATTCCTAGTGGAGTCTCAGTCTTATGAGGGCAGGACCTTAGATTCATCTTTGCGTCCATAGCTTGCTTCTAAACTGAGCGTCCTGCACTGACTGCATACCTGTTCTATAAGGAACACAGAGTGAAATGCAGTGCTACTTGATGGAAAGGGTTAATTGGAGGAGTATGCTTTAAGTGAATATAGAGTTAGCATGAAATGGAGACTTTAAAGTTGGATAGGATTTCTGTTGGTCAGATGAGGAGGGGGCATTTTATGCAATAAACCAAAGGCAGTTTACCAACTAAAAAGCTTTCTGATATTTGGCCACATTTTACAGACCTTATTTACTTATAAACATGCAGGTTAAGATATTACTAATATATTCATTATTTAAAGAAGTCAACATTAAGGAGAAGATTCTATCCATTAGACATCCATAGACCAAGGCTTAGCAAAGCATAGTATGTGGGGCAAGATTATCTATAACTCTTGCTGACATCAGGGAGGACCAGCTATGCAAATTTCCTTCTAAGCTTCCTTTCACTTGCACCATTCCACAATCCTACTTTCCCCTTTCATTCTAAATTTAGATCCCCAGATCCTCTAAGGAGGCTAGGAGTTAGTTGCACCAAAGTGGTGGGGGTAGGGGGGGGTGCCAGGGTGGGAGGGTCTCTGTGTGTGTGTCGTAAACAAACTTGGTCTAGAAGACTCACTGGTCATGTAGAGAATGAGTAAGCTTAACATAGGTTGCTCTCACACCTAGTTCTCTCAGCATCAAATAATTCCTGAGGGCCACCAGACAGCCCCAATTCCTGTTTATAATTTGGTGGGGGAATATGATGGAGTACGATGAAAGTTACTGGAAGGAAAATACAGGCTGCAATGAGAGCACAGAGGATGATTCGCACTGGCATCCTTCCATCTTTAGGTCTCTCTCCTGTTAACAGAGAAGCAATGACTTTCCCACAGAGGACCTATTCAATATATTACAAAATATATTCTATGTAAATATATTAGTGAACATTTGGAAAATAGAAACAGAGGTAGCCATAGCCTGCTACACTGGCCACACCCTATAAGACCCTCTCAAATTTTTATTGTGTAATCTGTAATAGCTATCATTTATTGCATACTACATGCACTGCACCGTGCTAAGCATCTTCTATACACAATTTTCTTGACTCCAGAACAATCCTATAACATAGATGTTATTCTCTTGATTTTATAGATAAGGAAACAGGCTCAGAGAGATCACATCTACTCATGAACAACTGGATTCAAAACAAGTCTGAATCTAACACCATTTATTTTAATACAATAATGCTCAATAAATTGGATGTACTCTTTCCACTTAATATTATTCATTACTTTAAAAAATGTTCTACAGCATCTTAGTGTCCTTTCGGTCACATTTTGAGTCATATTCTTACCTTAGGTCTGGGAGTTGTTAAGTAGTAAAGAAGTAATACATCGATTAAATCGCCCTTCAAGTGGGTTGTTTTTAAATATGGGCAGTTTGTTTTGAAATATGGAGAATCTCAACACATCTTTTGAAGCATTTGGGTTCATTATAAAACCTCTTTATTAGGCAAGAAAGTACCTCAATTTTAACTTGCATTTCTTCTAATTCCTGTTCATTTACGGGTTCTATTTCCTCTCTAATTCATCTAGAATGCTTGAGTTTATCTCTGGCCATGAGAACTTAGTTTGAAAAGTCCTCAGAAACCTTCCAGTCTAATTCCCTCATTTTCCAGATTGGGGAGTGGAAGCCTACAGGTACCTTCCACCGGGATGTCGGAGGCGGGACTCCGAGGGCAGTTTTTCTACCTTGGTAGATCCATCCGAGGGTCCGAACCAGTTGTTTGAAACAGCAATATTACATTACATTCAAGGCAGACCTATCTCCACAGTATTCAAAGCGCTGACATTTATTTATGTCCCAAAATCCTAAAGGGAAGGGCTAGATATTTTCATTAATAAGTAGACGAGTTGAGCGGCGGAGCAAAGCCTCTCTCGGCTCTTTTACTGGCTACGTTAACAAGAGGAACATATCCCCGGCTCGTACCGACCCCACTACTCCGGAAAAGGGGAAAGACTTTAAAAACCAGCCGCAGAGATACCGGCTTCCCACTGCGTCCGCGGCCGGGCGGGGCGGTGGCGTGTAGTGCGCAGGCGCGCACCTGTACGGCGCAGGGGCCCCGCGCGCCGCCTCCCCGCGCGCCCCCCTCCGGCTCCGCTCCCACCTCCCTCGTCTCTCCATTCCCAGGCCCCGCCTCGCCGCGCTGTGCCTGGCCTCCTCTCCGGTCCCGTGGCTCCGCGGGCGAACTGCGTGTTGCTGCGTCATCGGCAGTGGCCGGTTTGAATGAGCCTCTCGTAGCCCCCGAGGTGCTGCCACCGCCGCGCCTCTGCCTTGGTCGCCGCCGGTTCTCCGCGTCCCTCTCTCTCCGACGCCCTTGCCAGGCCCAGCCTTCTTGCTCCGCCGTCTGCCCTCGCGTGCCGCCATGCCGCTGTATTCGGGTGAGCTGCCTCCGCCTGCGCCCTGCTGCCCTGTCCGGCGCTAGGCCGCGGAGCAGGCCTGGCCTGCGGGGCCGCCGACCCGGGCCGGGGTGCGGGCGGGGACGCGTGGGCGGGTGCCTGCGGTGCGGCCCTAACCCTGGACCCCGGCTCTCACCCTGCTGGCTCCCAGCCCCGCGTCTGTGGGAGCGGGTCGGCCCTGGACCGCCGGTGGGTGGGGTGGGAGCCGGAGTGGAGGTGGGAAGCAGCGAGCCTGCCTCTCCGAGTGGTGACTCTGCAGAATACTTTCTGTCGCTGCCCTCGTGTGCCAGGAGAGGTGAGGGTGTGTCCCGAGGCACCGGGACCCCGGCTGGAGAAGTCGTGGGATGTCCTTGGCTTATCAGTGGTAGCTGTGGAACGGAGCGGAAGGAGGGGAAGCCTGTGGTAAGAAGGGTTGGAGGGGCCGGGGGCGTATGGTTAGCCTTCGTCGGTCTTGGAGTTTCCCTTTGCTTACCCGTTGCTGCATTTGGCACCACCGCCCCTTTGTACCAATTTCAGTTCTAGCCCAAGGCAGATGGCGAACGTATCCATTTGCTTAGTTTTCATTTCATCAAACAACGTTTTGGGCTTCGAAGCATAGTGTTGGCTTTGAGACGTAGATGAATACAAATACCTGCGGGCGTCCTTTTCTTTTGATTGGCGGTTGACAGGGTTTTTTTGTATGGTGGCAGTAGGGGATATTGGGCGGTGATCTTGCTGTTTCTTAGTCTTGCTCAAAATGGCACCTAAAATGTATGTGGTGGCTCCCGTTGGCTGTAGGTATGTGATTCTTTGGCCACTCCTGATTATCCCTCAATTCCTTTATTGAAGATTCAGTATTTCAAAGAATGAGATGAAACAAGAGTAATACTTAATTTCGAGGTGGACTCCTGATATTCTAGAATCTTGAATCCAGTGCTTTAATAATGACTGCTCAACCTCTTTCTGAAGGCACAGCAATGAACAGAATTGTACTTGAAATATTCTATTTATGCAATATATAATTGAGGGGGTGTTAATTAAGTAATGGCGATAAACATCAGTATTACGCTAATACTTAAATATACTGATAGACTTCATAAAACAAAATGAACCTCTGTCTTTGTTTCCATCAAAAATTGCCTGTACTCACAAAACCCATCTTAAAAAATTGAGCCCCATATTGAATACTTCATCAGATCTTTTCCTCGTTTCCAAAATGAGGGAATTGGAGTGGATTTGACATCTCCATATTGAGAATCTATTTTCAGGTTCTGCAAAAACCCTATACTAACAGGAGAACATTTTAAGTACCATTTTATGTTTAAGAAAATTAAATATCCAGAGTCTTACATGTGAAATGAATGCCATAAAAAATAATGAACACTTTCGTGCCTGGTATAAAGATAGTGTTTTTTATACATGCTGCTTTGTTTTAATATTCGACATAATCCTGTGATACTATATAATTCTCCTTCATGGGTAAGCAAAAAGTGTAGGTAACTTGCCCACGGTAACACAGCTAAATACATTTCAGACAGGTGTTCCTTTCATTATTTCCAACACTGTTTTGATTTAGATCTCATCTTTTGCTTGTACTGTTGTCATGTTTCTAGCCTCTCTCATTGATTGTAGTTACGCCCCCTTCAAGCCCATTTTCCCTGATGCTCTTGAGCTGACTAATGTCCAACCAAGACTGAAGTGGCCTTATGAAACGCTGTCAGGGATTGCACATATTCCTACAATAAAAAGCGCAAAGCCTATACGTTTAAGCGTAATATATATTACCTTCCTTGACTTGACCCTCGACCAGCTTCCAGTTTCAGCTGCTTCCCCTTGCTCTGTGAATTACTTAGGTCTCAGAACACACTGTGCTTGCTTTATGCTTTTGAATGTTTTTGTCTTTTCCAGGAATGCTTTTATTCTCTGGCTAACACCTAATTTTTTCTTGAGACTCAACTTGAAGGTATCACTTCCTCCAGTAAATTCTCCTCACTCCTGAAGCATCCCTTTGTGCTCCTGTAGCATTATCAGTATTTATATTTTATTGTTAATAATTTAAACTTTTTTCCCCCCATCTCTCCCTTACTAGATTGTAAGTTCATAGAGAGTCTTCCTAATGCTCATTGCTGGGCTTTTCATTGAATGAATGCTAAACACATTAATTAAACTGGTGACGGAATTGGGATTTGGAATCAGGGTCAGTTTTTCATATTCTGATTTTAGTTGTTGGAAATTAAACAACTATTAGTTTTGAGATTCTCATTTTGAGTAGAAAATAAAGATTTCAGTGCAAAGATATTGTGTATATCCTTGAGTTTACTTTTTATTTATTTATTTATTTTTAATTTTTATTTTGGTATCATTAATTTACACTTACCTGAGGAACATTATGTTTACTAGACTCCCCCCATCACCAAGTTTCTCCCACATGCCCCATTGCAGTCATTGTCCATCAGCATAGTAAGATGTTGGAGAATCACTACTTGTCTTCTGTGTTGTATAGCCCTCCCCGTACCCCTCCCCACATTATACATGCTAATCATAATGCTCCCTTTCTTTCCCCCCTCCCCCCCGCCCCTTATCCCTCCCTTCCCATCCATCCTCCCCAGTCCCTTTCCCGTTGGTAACTGTTAGTCCCTTCTTGGGTTCTGTGATTCTGCTGCTGTTTTGTTTCTTTAGTTTTTCTTTGTTGTTATGCTCCACAGGTGAGTGAAATCATTTGATACTTGTCTTTCTCCACCTGGCTTATTTCACTGAGCATAATACCCTCTAGCTCCATCCATGTTGTTGCAAATGGTAGGATTTGTTTTCTTCTTATGGCTGAATAATATTCCATGTGTATATGTACCACATCTTCTTTATCCATTCATCTACTGATGGACACTTAGGTTGCTTCCATTTCTTGGCTATTGTGAATAGTGCTGTGATGAACATACGTGTGCATATGTCTTTTTCAAATTGGGCTGCTGCATTCTTAGGGTAAATTCCTAGGAGTGGAATTCCTGGGTCAAATGGCATTTCTATTTTAAGTTTTTTGAGGAACCTTCATACTGTTTTCCACAATGGTTGAACTAATTTACATTCCCACCAGCAGTGTAGGAGGGTGCCCCTTTCTCCACAACCTCACCTACATTTGTTGTTTGTCTTTTGGATGGTGGCAATCCTTACTGGTGTGAGGTGCTCTCTCCTTTTGGTTTTAATTTGCATTTCTCTGATGACTAGTGATATGGAGCATCTTTTCATGTGCCTGTTGGCCATCTGAATTTCTTCTTTGGAGAAGTGTTCAGCTTCTCTGCCCATTTTTTAATTGGATTATTTGCTTTTTGTTTGTTAAGGTGAATGAGCTCTTTATAAATTTTGGATGTCAACCCTTTATTTGATCTGTCATTTATGAATATATTCTCCCATACTGTAGGATGCTTTTTTGTTCTATTGGTGGTGAGTTTACTTATTTTTATATATTTTAAAAGTTAGCTACTTGAAGGCTGATTGAAGTTTTTTTTACTGTGGTAAAATATATGTAACATGAAATGTACTATTAAACGTTTCTAATTGTGCAGTTTTTGGCATTAAATGCATCCACATTGTTGTGCAGCCATTGTCACCATCCACCTCCAGAACATTTTCATATTTCTAAACTGAAACTCTGCATTAAACAATAACTCCCCATTTCTGCTCTCCTCCCCAGTCTCCTGGTAACTACCATTCTACTTTGTCTCTGTGAATTTGACTTCTCTATGTACCTCACATAAAAGGAATCTGACAATATTTAATATTTATCCTTTTGTATCTGGCTTATTTTGCTTATCATAATGCCTCCTCAGTTCATCCATGTTGTAGCATGTGTAAGAATTTAATTATTTTTTAAGGCTGAATAATATCCATGTGTATATACCACATTTTGTTTATCCATTCATCTATTGGACATTTGGGTTGCTCCCACCCTTAGGCTTCTGTGAATACTGCTGCTGTGAACACGGGTGTGCAAATACCAGTTTGAGTCCCCGCTTTCTATATTTTGGGGCAGAAGTGGAATTGCTGGATCATACTGTAATTCTATGTTTAATGTTTTGAGGAGCTGTCATATCCTTTTTGCACAATGGCTACACCGTTTTATAGTCCCAACCATGATGCACAAGGGTTCCAAATTCTTCATATTCTCACCAACACTTATTTCTTTTTTTTGTCATTGTTATAATAGCCATTTGAATGGCAGTAACGTAGGATTTCTATATATTTCTTAACGATTTAGTTCTTTCTTTGGATTCTTAATATTTGACTACCTCTTGCTCAGGAACCATATCTTTCACTTCTTCTGTACCCTTCTTTTTATAATCCAGAATCTCTATTCCTTAACCTGTTTTAAATATTCCTTATTCTCCCAAGATTTTTTTTGTTCTCTCAAAATATCTTTCTGACCTTTCCCCTCTCTATTCCAGTGGTATGTACTGGTTTTAATTATTATTTAATTAAACACATTTTAAAGTCTGTGAATTTATTTTGGGAGATATTTCAGTGTGATCATATTTTGCAATGAGTAGGATTTAGAAGACTTGGAATATTTACTAACTAGTTTTGTGACATTAGTAATCATCAGTCATTTTCTCTTAAGTCCTAGTTTCCTTATTTAGCAAATGAGAAGTTGGATTAGATCCAGTTAAATTTTTTTCAGGACCTACTGTATTCAAGTCACTCCTGCTTTGGTAGGCATTAATTATGAGCGTAAAGAGATGAATGACATACTTTGGCTTTCAAGAACTAGTCTGATGGGTCCCCTAAGAATCTTCTAAATCTGAAGTCTTGTTATTTTGTAAATGAAAATATTTATGGCTTTGTTTGCAGTTACTGTGAAATGGGGAAAGGAGAAATTTGAAGGTGTAGAATTGAATACGGATGAACCTCCAATGGTATTCAAGGCTCAGCTTTTTGCACTGACTGGAGTCCAGCCAGCCAGACAGAAAGTTATGGTGAAAGGAGGAACATTAAAGGTAAAATTTAGCCCAAATTTTATTATTTATTATAATTATGTAATTGGTGAAATTAACCCCAGAGAATGAAGCAGTTGAAGTATTTTTTTGTTTGGTGAGAGTGTGTAGTCTATGGGATTAAAATTGTTTAATCAAAATTGTTTTAGTGTAAGGGAAGAACATTGTAGCTGTTTCAAAAAACTATATTATAAAAGCATCATTAAGATTTTTATTTTAAAATGCATTGTATCAATGAATACCTCCTGGGGTCAGGGTAGTGGGGCACTTTACATTTATCTCTATTGTTCAAATTTTTTTCCCAATGAGGGTGTGTTAGAAGTATTATTTTGTTTAGATTAATATGAAATATTTGAATTTCCATAATAATCTTCTCTTAGAGAGGTGGAAACTTTTAATCTCTTTTAAAAATAAGGAACAGTATGGTAGATATGTTTTAAAAAACACTACAAAGTGTAGTTTTGTACATGCATTTGAATGTTGAACTTCAGAGTATTTCAACAGCAATACCAAAGCTCCAGTTTGGGAATAATGTTAATTTTTTCCTTTGCTCTTTTGTGCATCCTGCTCATTAAAAAAGAGCCCCCTTTTTTAAAGTGTTAGTAAATGATTGCCATTATCTGGGGATGGGAGAAAAAATATTTTTGCTTAAAGAGAGAGGGAACTTAATTTTTCCTTTATTTAGTTTGCTTGGATTGACTACAGTTAAGAGTCCAGGTTTACCAGCATCATTGATGAAGGGCCACAAAAGAGATAACACAGGTATTTTCTTTTAATGGCAATAAAGCAGATGTTGGTGAAGAAACATTGCTTCCCCTCCAAGTTGCAGTTGAGCTTTTGCTCATTAGTGAGCTTGATAACCTAATTTGTGCTGAACCATGTACTCATGGTGTGCTGTGGAAAACTATTAAAAAAATGCAAACTAAATGAAACTAATAGCGACAGATACAGATGATTGAATAGTCTGTGTCAGGCTTTTCTTTTTCTTTTAATTCTCAACTATGTATTTTAAAAATGAGGAAAGTGAATGTATGTAAATGAAACAGCATCAGAGAGATTTAAGTAATGTATAGTAAGGAATAAAGTAACATGTGATTTACAAGTCAAGCAGATCTGGATTCATATCCCAGCTTGTGTGACATTGGAAAAGTAAGTGATCTGCGAGAGCATATTTAGTTATCATTCCTCATGGTCAGCAGTAATAGCCCTTAAACTTTAGGAAATTATGGTTCCACTTTGAAGAAGGGTGTCCAAAGAGATAGTAGCACCACAAAAGGAAGCATTGTGAATGCCTGGCACTCTATGTAAAAAGAAAGAATAGCGTGGAACCCACTTTAGCCTATGAAGGGAAGAGCTTAACTGCAGTAGCCAAAAATATGGACCAGCATGGCGTTTAAAAGAAAAAGATCTTGATTTAATTGAACATACTGAAGTGAAAGTATTTAATTGCTTCATAGATGTGAAATTTAGGATTTGAAACTCAACATTTGTGGACATTGCAAATACAGTTGACCCTTGAACAGCAGAGGTTTGAACTGTATAGGTCCACTTATGCATGCAGATTTTTCAATAAATATATTGGAAACTTTTTTGGAGATTTGTGACAATTTGAAAAAATTCTTTTCTCTAGCTTACTTTACTGTAAGAATACATATATTATAAAACGTGAAATATGTGCTAATTGATTGTTATTGGTAAGGATTCCAGTCAACAGTAGGGTATTAGTAGTTAAATTTTTAGGGGAGTCAAAAGTTATATACAGCTTTTTGACTGGGGTTGGTGCTGTAAGCCCTGTGTTGTTCAGGGGTCAACTGTATTATTAAGGGTTAATTTGTCTCAGGAAGTCTTGTTAGTTAATAGCACTTTCATTCTCAAGAGTCTCCTGACTTGGATGATAAGTTATATAATCACCCTAATTATGTAGACCTTGTTTCATAAGTTGCTCTTCCTTCTTGCCACATGAGCTAGTTATTAGCTTTGCTGGTTTCAGACATGCAACAAACATACAAAAAATTAGTATGTCATTTGTCATCAGTTGTGTCCTTTAGTACTTGTGGTGCTGCCAAGTTTACTTTTAGATTGTTCACATAGTTTAAGCAGTTGTTAGATTTACTAGCTTTATGACTGCATGTATTTTCTTTGTTTTTAAAATACTTTTGATTATAGTAATTGGAAGTAATATCTGCATACAGAAAAAATTCTGTTTTCAAGTAGCTTAAAATTAGTTGATTAGATTTTGTTTGGGTCATACATACATGGTAAAATGTTTTTTATTTGTCTTTAAAACAGGATGAGGATTGGGGAAACATCACAATAAAAAATGTAAGTATTAAGAATACTTACGATAATGTAATTTCTTAGTTATTACACCAAAATATGTTCAAAATGCCTTTTAGTCTCTTTCTCATTATATATAGACAAAAAATAAATATAATAATATTTATCTTCAGTTGTTCAAGCACTAATTGTAGATACTTTCCTTTTCCCATCAACTTATGTTGGGAATCTTGAAAATCAGTTGTAGGTCTATTCTTGGACTCTTGTTCCATTAATATATTTGATTAAAATATAGTAGTACCACATGATCTTGATTACCAAGTATTTATAATAAGTCTTAAGATAAGACTTCAAGAATATTTTAGCTATTTTAGCTCCTTTGCATTTCCTTATAATTTTAGAATTAGTCAGTTTCTAAATGGACTCCTGGAATTTTGTTTGAGATTGCATTGACTCTATAGTTTAATTTCAGGAAAATGAACATATTAACAATGTTGAGTATTAAAATCCTTAAATGTGGTGTACTTCTGTGTTTATTTAGGTCTTTATATTCTCTTAGAACTTTCTGAGGTTTGTAGTTTTTCAGTATAGAGATGGTACACAGTTTCTGTTAGATTCTTGGAACTAAGTATTTCTTGGCTGTTGAAAACAATATTTTAAAAAAATTTCATTTTCCAGTGTTCATGGCTAGATTATAAAAATACTGTTTACTTTCATCCTGTGGCCTTGTTAAATTCACATGATAGTTCCAGTATTTTTTTGTAGATTCCATTGGGTTTTCTATGTACATAAGCATGTCATCTGCAATTAGAGGCAGTTTTATATCTCCCTTTCCAATTTTTATGACTTCCATTTCTTTTTATTGTCTTACTTCACTGGGACTTCTAATTGTGTTGAGTAGAAAGTGAAGAGTAGACATCTTCATCTTTTCCTGGTTCACTAAGACCTTTTAAATCATGAACATCTGTTGAATTTTGTTAAGTGCTTCCTATTAAAATGATCATCTGATTTTTCTCCTTTATTCTGATAATCTGGTTAGTCTCACTGATTTTTTTAAAGTTATTTAAAAATCTTTTCATACTGAGATACATACGAAAAGCATAAATCTTAATGTACACCTTGATGCATTTTGACATGTGTACTCACTCGTGTAACCATTGCCCAGTCAAGATGACAGACATTCTCACTAATTTCTCTTTTTCTCCTTCATCCACCACCCTGTGTCATGGCAGCCATCAGTCTATTCTGTGTTGGAGTCTATTTCAGTTTTATTTGTTCATTTTTGTTTTTTGTAAGTGAAATCAGATGGTATTTGTCTTTTTCTTTATGACTTACTTCACTTAGCATAATACCATTTAGGTCCATCCATGTTCAAAATAGTGAAAGGACTGGTATTGTTCTACATTTTTGCAAAGTTTTTGACAATATAGCTTAGTAGAAGATAATTGAGTCTCGTAGTTGCTTCTACATTCAGTTTGTTGTGAAATGTTGATTTGGTTGAAGTATGTACAAGAAATTTGGCCTCACGTAGGTAAATAGATGGAAAAGGGAAGGATTTTCTCAGGTAAAATTTTGAACACTCTTTTATAGTATGTCAAAACTCATTATTCAGTTTATTATTTATATAAACCACATCAGTGACTTTTTATACATTAAAATGTATTTGTCTGTTTTGTACTTAGAATGGATCTTATACCCATGCATGATTTTGTAACATCCTCTGTTGGTCATTTGGAAAATAATGGTTTTCTGAGTTATTTAGATCTTATGAATGTTGATGCATTTCATTATACAATATTTAAAAATTGCATTCATTAAAATAACTTCGTCATATAAATTCATAACTGCCAACCTCATTAGAAAAGTAATACTGGAAAGCTGCCAGGTGCATAGTGACAAATACAATGCTAATTATTCACTTTGAAAGCTCTAATTTTGTCATTGGCAACTATAAATATTTTAGTTGTTTTCCCTAAAGCAACAAGTTCACTTCATTCATTTTTGGGGGAATGTTGGCTAATTATGCAAGTCTGAAAACCTGTAACTTGTCAGTTGTTTTAAGTAAAAACTGTATTCCATTAAAAATGAGGAATTAGTCCAGTTTGCAACTCAGACATTTACACGAGCTTATCCTGAAGACAACTATGATACTTAAGTATACAGAAGTGTGTGTGTGTGTTTTTAAAATTTGATTGGCACTTTGTAATTTTTTTAATAGACTGTTTTTTTTTAGAGCAATTTTAGGTTCACAGCAAAACTGAGCAGAAGGTACAGAATTTTCACATGTACCTTTATAATGGGAAAATGTTGATACTCCCAGTATTAACATCCCCTACCAGAGTGGTACATTTGTAATAATTGATGAACTTCCATTGACACATCACCATTACACAAAGTACATGGTTTACATTAGAGTTCAAACTTGATGTCATACATTCTATGGGTTTGGTGTATAATGTATCCACCATTTTAGTGTCATACAGAGTAGTTTCAGTGTCCTAAAAATCTTCTATGCTGTGCCTTTTCATCCCCTCCTCCCCCCAAACTCTTGGCAACTGTTGGTATTTTTATTATATCCATAGGTTTGCCTTTTCTAGAATGTCACATATTTGGAATCATAAAGTATGTAGCTTTTTCAGGTAGACTTCTTTCATTTTTTAATATGCATTTAAATCTCCTCCATGTTTTTCATGGCTTGATAGCTCAGTTCTGTTTAGTGCTAAATAATCCATTGTTTGGATGTACCATATTTTATTTATTCATTCATCTGCTGAAGGTCATTTTGGTTGCCAGTAGAAGTAAGTTTTTTATGGGTACTTCCCATTCCATCATACAGACTGCCAAGAAGAAATGTATTTAAAGGTTGAGCTTCAGTAAAGTCAATAATTTTTACCAGTTCATTTTTATGTCACTGCTTTGATGCTAAACTGTTAAAATTTTTAGCCACTATTGATTTACCACCATCAGTGCAGATGTCAACACACTGGAAAAGAGAAATAACATCTTGGTATTATTATGAAAGTAGTTATGACCTTGCTGGCTCTGTGAATGAATCTCAGATTGATAGGGGTTCACAGAAAACATTTGGGCCTCACTAATTTGTGATGTACTTATTTATCTCTCACATATTGCTGGATTTAAGTTTCTCGTGTTTTTAGGGATATTTACATTATGTTCTTGAGAGATATTAATATTTTTATTTTATAACAATCTTTCATTTTGTTATTAGAGTTATACTGAATTCATTAGAATTGAAGTATTCCCATTCTTTTTTCTGAAAGTTTTTTTCAAGATTAGTATGGTTTCTGTAAATATTTGAAATAATTTACAGGTGAATTGTATATGGACCTTGGTTTTCTTGGAATTTGATTGATGTGCAGTTTCTTAATAGACGTGGGCTATTTAGATTTTCTGTATTTTCTTATGTCAGTTTTTTTGAGTTTTCTCTTTTGGGGAAGTTGTGTATTTTAAATATGTTTAATTTATTGGCATAAAGTTGTTTATGATATCCAGAACATTAATTATTCTTTTATATCTGTTAACATTATTTATTGATGTTTCCTCTTTCATTCGTGATATTAGTAATATATGTTTTTGCTTATTTTTTTTTTTTTTGGTCAGTGTCGCTAGGATTTATCAATAAGTATTTTAATTTTTAGCTGTTCATTTTATATATTACCCATTTTCTATTTTATTTTCTACTCTTTAAATTATTTCCTTTTTTTTCTATTTTGTGTTTAAATTGTAAAAAATTTCCTGCTTTTTAAGATGCTTAAATCATTAATTTTTATACCTTGTCTTAAATAAACATTTAAAACTAGTAATTTTTCTTTAAGTGCTTATAGCTTTTATACACAAATTTTGTATGCCTTCAAATAACAAATGACTTCAGGTACAGTAAAAGATGACTCCAACAGTATACTTCTATTTCCTTGCTTCTGTCATTGGTACTATTGTTGTCATAGAATTTACTTCTACATTTGTTAGAAACTTATTACTACATTGCTCTTACTTTTACTTTTAATAGTCATTATCTTTTTAAAGACATTAAAAAATGTAGAAAACTCATTTTGGCACTCTTCCTTTGGGTCAGATCCAGATGTTATTTTCTTCTGCCCTAAGAACTTCCTTTAAATTTTTGCAGAGCATGTCTGTGAATTGTATCTGCTTTTATTTTTTTGAAAAACTTCATTTTCCTTTTTGAAAGTTTTTGGTAGGTATGGGATTCTAGAATAACACTTTGAATACTTGAAAGGCGTCTTCTGATTTGAATAGTTGCTGTCATTCTTAATCTTCGTTTCTCTGCATGTAATATATCTTTTTTTCCCTGGGTTCTTTTGAGATTTTTCTCTTTTTTGGTTTTCAGCAATGTAATTACGTTGTTTTGGTTCGATTTTCTTTGTTTATTCTTTCTGAAGTTCTTGAATCTATGGTTTTGTAGCTTTTATTAAATTGGGAAAAATTTTTAGCTATTTTAGATATTTTTTCTGTCCTTCCCTCACCTCTTTTTTTGAGACTACAGTTGTACGTGTATTTTTAGCTTTGCCCATTGTAGAATTTAGTCCCTTTTATTTCTTTTTTTTTGTGTGTATTTACTTGTCTATATGTTGATGAATAATTTTGTTTCTACTTTTTAACTATATGACCAAAACTGCTGGGAACCTTTCTCTTTATAGATGCATGCTTTCATTTTTCTTGCATAAACACATTAGGAGTGAAATTGCTGGATCATATAGTTAAGTATATATTTGACTTTGTAAGAAAGGCACGCACTTTCCGCAGTGGTTGTACCATTTTACATTCCCATGAGCAATATGTGAGAGCAGTATATCACCAGGATATGATGATATTGGTCATTTGTATTTTAGCCATTCTGGTAGGTGTGTAGTGATACTTGGTTATGGTTTTACTTGGCATTTTTTTGACTAGTGATAATGAACATTATTTCATGAGTTTACTGCCAGCTTATTTTTTTGAAATGTCTGTTCAGATCTTTTATTTTTTAGTTGAGTACTTTCTTTTGAGTTTTGAATATTCTTAATATA